ATTTTTCGCTTCGCTTTTGATATCAACCTTAATGCCTCGATTATCACGAATAAAATTTATTAATAAATGACCTATTACAGTATTAACGTACATGGCCTCAACTGTAATCGTAATACTTGGTAAAATTTTTTTAAAACAGTAGAATTGTGAAACCCCTGGTAAAACTCTAGAGGCTTGATTTTTAAGTTGCATATGAAAGAAATCTTTATAATGTCAAAGTTAAACCTCCGTCAAATGAAAAATGAAGCTGAAGCGAGGCCTTAAATTTTGTGCTAAACATTATCTGTGGCTGTTAGACACGGTAGCATTTGACAAAATGTGGCTTATATGAAAACCCCTCCACAAAATTCAGATCATCCAATCGAATTTTTAGGATCAGGTAAACGTAAGCAATCAAAAGCGAAGCGAAAAATCGCTTGTAACTCGAACCGAATTAAAGTTTTATGAATTTAGAAAAAGGGATGATAGAATTGAGAATTTAAGAAATTAGGATAGAGGATGTTGGAATTTATTAATTTATTGTGCTTAGACCCTCACTTTCTCGAGAAACAACATCATAATACCGTAAACTGCCAGATACAAGATCCCCCCCAGATACAGTATCAGACCCCTATGTACTATACCCGGTCTATAACATGGGATAAAGTTTTGGTAAAATGTAAAAGATCAGAGGTATATAATAGGAAAAACCTAATAAATAGAATAAACCCCAATTATCAATCCCAAGGTCTAGTTCTAGGTTTTAAGATTGGTGAAATGTAACAGACCTGGGTCTTGTATCCGAAGTTTACGATAATGTTCAACAAATAGGCTTATTGATAATATTCTTCCATCTTTACCAATTTCATTCTCCCAAATTCATTCTCCCAAATTCATTTTAACTATACTTGCCACCCAAAATAAAATTCTAAATTTCCAAACTTAATTAAATTCTCCCAAATCCCAAGAGTTTTTATTGACGAGTATAATTTCACTTAGATATTCTCTTGACAATTACTATATAAGCCCTAGATATATGAAGGAAGTAGGCAATTGACAATCTAATTTAATGGTAAAAATAGCGTTAAAGAATTGTGAAGAAATTGATAAATTGGTCTGAAGAATCAATTGTAAATCTCTAGAGATTTGAACTAAATACATGTATTTCATTAGAAAGAATGCGGTTTTTAAGTAAATGAATAAATGATTAGAAATTGAGCCAAATAATATAGGGTATCTAAATGTTATCAAATGAATGAAAGTTTGAATTTAAATTTACATAGTACCAAACTTAGCCTTGAGTAAGACGCTGGTAAACTGATGCTGAATTGAAATTGGTGAAACTAATTTCACCAGCATCTCTAGCCCTGAGAGATATTTTGATAAAATGCTGGCACAGTAACAAATAGTATCGAAAACGTACACTGAAAACTTAAAATTCTTACAGGGTGTATCGGTATTTGCATTAAATAACGGGTAGTGCTTAAAACAGGACTTCGATAACTAGTTCACATGTATCATGCCGCAGATCAGATTTTTCAGGGGAGCAGTTATCGTTATCAGATATAGATAAGCAAATTATTGTTATCATTATCAGTTTATACATTTCTATCATAAAAAGCCGAAAAATGCTTTCATTTGCCAATGTAGCTCGGCCTTTCTTTCGCCTTTCGCCAGATTTAGGTTTCGTCTTTCGTCATTTAAATAAAAAGGTTTCGTCTAACAACTACATAACACAACAAGGTTTACCAAGTAAAGCTCATATTTTACACCTTTATCGTTCTCTCTTACGAGCAAGTAAAACCTTTTCAAATTACAATTTTAGTGCTTATGCATACCGACGAACAAGGGACTCATTTCATGAACATAAAAATGAAACTAGGCCAGATAAGATTATAGAACTTGTTAAGAAGGCTGAACATGAATTAACAATTTTGCAAAGACAAGGATATTTAAACAGTCTTTATGCCGTTGACAAATTGGTAGTAGAACAAAGCAATTAGACAAAAAGTTTTTTAACGCAGACTTGGGGTTTAGAGTAGCTTGAAATATGATTGGTTAATTGGTGCTTAGCATTTTCTAAGAACTTTTATCTTTTTTATAAAAGATTAATAACCGATTTTTTTAAATAAAAAAAAATTATAATTTTGTAACTATTTTATCTTTTTTTTTTTTGTATATTTTAAAAAATTATAATTTTAATTAAACAAATAAAATATAAAAAAACTAAACTATAATATTATAAAAACAACAAAATTAATTATGCTTTTAAATAACTTTTTATGCTATATTGGGCATTGTACTGTATAAAAAAACTTTGATAGCTTTAAATAGTATTTTTAATTATTTTTAATTTTTTATTAAAGCTTTTTTTTTTTTAGAAAACTTTTAGAAATTTAATATAATTTTTTAATTTAAAATTACAGTATATTATATATATATATAATATAAAATATTTTAACCAGAACTTTTTTTTTAAGTAGTCAAATTTAAAAAAAATACTAAATTTTTAATTGGTTATTATTTTAAAAATTTAATATTTTTTAATTTTTTGTTAAGCAATTACTATTTGTATATTAGTGTATATATATAAAAGTATTGTTGTTTTTTAAAATTTTAATTATAAATTACCTTTTGGCTTTAAACAAGAAAAATTTCTTGCAAAATTTTGATATAAATTAATTTTTATCTCAATTTCTACTAGTAGTATATTTATAAAAAAAGAATAAATCTATATGTCGATATTAGCAATGTGCTTATATATTATATATATATATATTATAATTTGTCTAAAATAAATTACATTTTTGTTTAATTAGGGTTAGAGCGAGATGAGAGTAGTATATAGGCTAAAGTTAAAGTAAAATAAGCTTTATAGTAAAATTTTGTAAAGAATTTTTTTTGTTAGAATACAAAGAATAGTTTTATATATAAAATTTTAATTTATAACTAATTTTTGTCAAAATAAATATTTGTTTTGAATTTATTTTAATTGTACTATGTTATATCTAATTTTGAAATTTGATTGGTTAATTATTAAAATGCAATATATAAGCACATTGTAGGGTAGCAATGCCTAATTAAGTTTTAAAAAAAATTTATAAAAAAATCTAAAATTTATTTATTTAATATTATTATTAATAACAAAAATTTCATACTCAATTTTTTAAATAACTTTTTTTGATAATTATCTGCACCAAAATTCTAGAGAAAAAAACCTAATATAGAGGCCCAAAGCTATTAAACAATATAGAGTTTAGCCTTAATAAAAAAGATAGAGCATACAAAAATATAATAATATGCCAAATTTTAGAAAAAACAAAGTACAAAATCAAGTACAACTTTGGTTTTTTCATTCTGATGTTTAGTTTTTTTTAGCAAAATTTAAAGAATTGCTTTAAATTCTGTAATTAAAGATGTGGTTATACTAGTATAATAGAAAAAGTTGTATAATATTAGAGTATTATACTGTATTATACAGTATAGTAAAGTATAATAAAAATTTATATATAAAAATTAAACAAATTTAAAGGTGATTAAAAAAATATTTAAAAAAGAATATATATATATATATATTTTTTTGGTTTCAACGGTAACCACTTTATTACATCTGAATAATTAAGTATATTACATAGTAATATAGCAGCTAGTCTATATATATTTCTATATATATCCCGGGTCTCTTTCCCCACAGTGTTGCAGTTCCCAGACTTACTATACCCCTATTCATGTGTAAAGCATCACACGGCTGCTCAAAGGTGCCTATGTGTAACCGTCTAGCCATTAATTTACCTCCCCTTTGGCTCCTAACTTGCTAGGGGGTTCTCCTCCGGATCAACGGAAGGCCGTGCTCGCCTTTTTGCTAGGGCACTTGTCCCACTCATGTGCCTCACCCAAACTTCAGTAATTTTATGCCACAGCTTGATTTATACACTTGGGGTTAGGGATAACCATTGAACCCCTTGTATTACCTATTTCTTGCCCTTATTAAGGTTCACAACAATCCTGATACTCATATTTGGTACCGTCTTCTTACTTGGATTCTTTATCAGTCCCTCCCTTACTTCCAGCCGGCAACTTGGAAAGGTTGGTCTGCCCAGGCTTTAAATGCCTAAAGGATGCCCTCCCCTTGGTACATACTTTCGGAGCATATGCCCTTTTCCTCTGGTACGACAGAACCCAGCAGTTTGGCTGGTGTGTTCTCTGCCATTAGGACCTGGTCATTTGGTTCTCCGATCTCGGACCCTGGTTCGAATTCAGCCCTCATGTAGTACTGTCATAAATCATCGCTATTTCTTAGCTTGGGACTTCTCAAATAGGTTTTCGGTTATTCTGGTTTCTTAGCTTTATTGCACCATTGCTTCTATTACTAGATGGTGTGACCGAAGTTATAGATTTATCTAAGATTCAACCGATAATCATAACCGTCAACTGTAACGCAAGCCTAATTTTCAAAATTCGTTGTCTGTGGGATTCAAACTCCAGACCTGCCACTTGAAGAGGTTGACGACTAGACTACTACGCCACACCTCAAAAAAGAATATATATTATATAGTATTTAATAAACAGATTAATACTATATTTTTTTGTTATATATACTAACATATAATATATATCTTATAATTCAGTTAAACAACTCTTTCCAATGATCACTTTTACCAAAAATTTCTAAAAAACGTTTTACTAGAAAAAATTTAAATGGCTATACTAGATATAATAAGATATGCAAAAAGGGACCTTAGAATAGCAACTATCATTTAGAGATAGTTCTTATATGCTATCTGCCGATTTTTTCAAAGTTTATCACTTATTGTGGTAACAGGCATAGCACTTGTCATTTATAGATAGTTCTCATATACTATTTGCAGAGTTTATCACTTACCAACAAAACTTAATACTGTATATACTCTGATATAGCCTTATTTGATTCTAGTAAAAGAAACTCACACTCTTTTATTTTGTATACAAGTGTTTTTTCTCCTCTACTCTGCCTTTCTGCTGCTCTCACAAAAAATTCAACAAAAAGTGGCATTCAAGCTTACTCCCTTCAAAAGATCGATATTGTTTATACTTTTTATTTTTAGACAAATGAAGTAGAATATAAATATAGAATTGTTTTGGCAATAGTGATCTATACTATGTGACGAACTAATTGGTACTCTGGTTGATGAACCAACCTGGACTGGATAGTAAAATCAGAAAAAAATTTTAATGATAAAGCTTAGCTTTACAATAAAGATATACAAGATTTTTAAATTTAGTATATAATTTTTACAATTTGTGCCTAGCATGGGCTATAATAGTGCTTTTATAGATTGTTTTTTTTTCTGCTTTTTCTTCTTGTTTTATTTATTTATTTTTTTTGCTTTCTTGTTGCTTAGACAGTTTTTTTATTTCTTTCTTTCGTGTCATTCTCTTTATCTTTTTAGTGTTAGTTTTTTTTTTCATAAATTAGTTGGAGACTATAAATCCTTCTGCTTATTAAGCTAGAGAAAGAAGGTTAAAAAAAATAGCAGTTTTGATAGGCTGTAAATACCATTTAGTAAAGTATTAAAGAATTCACTTGCAGAGTTTTTTGGTATAAAGATAAACATTTACTATAGCAAATTAAATATAGGTATTCACTTAAAACCAACCGGGTTAGTGAACACTTGTAATTTAGGTAGACTTAAAGTAATTTGAGTCATAATTGATATTTTATCCATGAGTTTAATATTATATCCTAATAAAGTGTTGGCAAGATTGCTGAATTTTACAAAAAAAAATATATATCTTATAATAAGAAGTACATAAATATATTTTTTAATATTAAAAAAATATTTTATTATTAAATAAAAAAAATTCAATATATATAGTGTTTCTAAAAACCAAACTGAACCAAACTTTGGGTTGAGTTCAAGTTCGGTTCAAAACCAAACTGAACCCGAACCAGATTTAATTTAAAAAATCTAATATTAAACTTTTAAACCAAGTCTGGGTTCAGTTCGAAAGTTCATAAACATGTTTGGGTTTGGTAATATAAAAAATGTTCATAGTCAGTTATTTAAAACAAAGGTATTCGCAAAACTTTGTTAAAAACTTTCAAAATAATATATTTTAAAGAGATAAAAATCAAATTTAGAATTATGAATATCAAATTAAACAGTACACTTGGTAATTTATATTATATAGCCTAAAATGTAATTAACACTAAATGTAATTATTATTTGAAACCTCTTATGCATTATACTTTTCACGTTAATTTAATCAAGTGAACTTATTCCACTTACTCCATCAATGCTTTTTTTGTAAAGACAAAACTTTATCTATAACTAAGATATAATATAGTGTTATAGAACGAATTTATTATTAGTTTATTATTTTATTATTTATTATTTATTAATTATCTTAGAATATTATT